TAAGTTACTTCAGTAAAAGTTATTTTTAAAATATTACTAACAATATAAAGTTAAATAATAACTTTCTCGTTTGAAGATCATTAAAGATTTTACAGCAAAGACATGTAAACTAGGACCTGAAGGCGGATGTTATTAAAATGGTACAAAATAGGCCTTTTACTTGCTATAAAAGTATAAACTATCAATCAGACAACAAAAGGCATGTAGATTGTGTACATTTGCGCATCAAATATGATACATTAGGCATTATAGGGTTAAAGTTAATATAGTTTGTTAATGAAAATGTCTGAAACCTAAAAACCCACCCTTATTTTCAAAAGTGCATGAAAGAAATGTTTTTTTTAATGAGACTTGACCCACTCTGATCATCTGCTCTTACTCAGTGTTCCCAGAAGGCGGCGTCCAAGGTAAACTACACCAGCACCGAGATGATAAGAGGAACCTGCACTTCTTCAGTCCAGAGTACGGCTGTAAGTGTGACCACATCTTCACTGCATTTTCTACTGGATATTTGTGTAGACCGGACGTATTTTTTGGTTTATATATTTTATATTTCCTTTTTTCATAGCATGTGAAGATGACTACGCTATTGACATCTTCTCTTTTGGGATTTGTGCTTTGGAGGTGAGATACCAACAAAGCATGACCTGGCAGTGTTATTACATACAGCACTTTACTGAACTGAAACGTGACAAGTCCCTCATGAAATAATATTTTTAAAATTGCTTCAGATGGCCGTGTTGGAGATCCAGGCAAATGGAGATTCAGTTGTGTCCAAGGAGGCCATAACCAATGCGGGCCAATCATTAGAAGACCCGCTTATGAGGGTACATGTGCACAATCGGGTTATGTTTAATGGGCATGATAGATGCTTGTCTAAATGCAATCAGACTTATGATTTTCTCTTGGCAGATGATAAAACGGGTCAAAAACACAACACTACAGACTTACATTTTGTCACATCTAGTTGCTCATATTTGCTTTAGAAAATGCAAACATTTGTGTATATGATACAGTTGTTTTTATTGGGTTAAAATTAATATAGTTTGTTAATGAAAATGTCTGAAACCTGAAAGCTAATATTTATTTTCAAAATTGTATGAAAGAACTACATTTTTAAGAAAGTTTGACCCATTCTGATCATCTGCTCTTACCCAGTGTTTCCAGAAGGGGTAAATTTGGTAAATTTTCTTTAGAAAATGTAAAAATGTATTCTTTTATATTAAACCTGAATTTTCCTGTTACTGACTCGGCAGGGTTATTATTACCATTAACTGAAACTAAAGCCATAAACCAACATTTTCATTATTTGAAATAAAATAAACATAAACTGAAGTAAAATAAAA